AATTGACTTTCAGCAGCTGTGTTTCGTTTCCTTACAAGAGCAGGTAGCAAAAACCTGCGTGCAACACTGCACTTCTCAGCTACAGAAAAAACTGCACTTTGCCCATTATCTGCATGTATCTGTGCCAGATTCTGAAACAATTGAAGAAATGTGCTGTGCAATAGAAGCGTTTTGGAGTAGAGTTTCTCGGTCTTGGGCATCTTCATACCAGATTGAAACAACATGAAATAAACCTTTACCTGAGGGATGGAGGTCAGAAGAAACGTGTCGCTGTTAATTTGTAGTGTCCAACCGCCTGTCATTGTGGCTGATGACCTGTGGGGTAGGGAGGCACGAAAGCGTTTCCCGTTCTCACCAGGGCAGGAGTCATTCCTCAGCCTGGGGCAACTGAAGATAAGTGATAGGTTTTATTTTTTAAAGGTTGGCATGTCAGCTTCAGTGGTGTCCAGAGAAGATGCTGCTGAACTGTGTAATCTCCTTATTTTTTTGTTCTGAAAAAATCTGCTGAGATGCTAATTTACGAGGTGGTTGTTCCTCTTTGTGCAAGACCTTGTGGTTGAATTCACTTACTTCCTGGATGTTTTATAGCAATAGCTGCCTTGAATAAGCTGTTTTTTAAGCTGTAGCATCTTTATCTTGCAGACTTTTTTGTTCATTTACTTTCTCACCTGAGTAACTGCTGGCAGCTGTGGAGCTGCTTGCAGCAAGAAGCAATGGCTGCCTGCAGCATTTGAAAGGCTGGGTCCCAATTTATTTTGAAATTTTCCTCAAACCTTTCTCTTTTTTCTCTTTTTCTTTTTTTTTCTTTCATATATGTTGAAGAATTTCTCATTTCTCTTCTTGAGGGAATGTTGAAATAAGCTGTTTTGCGTTATGTCCGAGGGCCTGTTTAATCCCGAGATTGAACTTCTATTCCTTGACTTCCACGGAAACCCTAAATGAAGAGGAATCCGAGAAAATGCAGTAGAGGTGTTTCTCTGTTAGCAGATGATCATTTTGAAACAGCTCCAAATTTTTCATGGCAGCAAGTTCATAAATCTTGGTGCGGTAGCTCCGCTCTCAGGAGAGCAAACGTAAAAATTCCTCAAACGGCAGAAGACAACCCGTGATTAGCGTCGGGTATGTTGAGGGTGTGCAAATGTGCATGCCTCTCGGAGAATATCCTGAAGCCCAAAGCATCGCCGTTACACACTGTGTTTTTGTATGCGTAGGAAAAGGCCAATAGTCATTATAGTTAGGCTCCTGCAAATTAATTGGACATTGGTTATGGATCAGTGAACTTCAAAGAGGGTAACCCCCGAAGATCTCGGGCATTAACTCGCAGCTTCCGAAAGTGACACTAACGTGGTTGTGAGGGCGGCTAAATCGTTCATTAACCTTCTTCTGACTCGCCGGGATGGCGTTCCTCGGATCCGGAGAGCAGAAATTAAACCTGTGCCTGAGATCTGCCCTGGAGCCCGCTTTTCAAGAGCTCCAGGAAAGTGCACGTGTCTTATAAAGCTGGAAGTTTGGTGTCTGGTTGTGAAAGGTCGCGGTCGTGTCTTTTGTCGGGATGTGTTTCTTCTGCTGTCTCTTTAGCTCAGCGTCAGAAGGGGCTCCCCTCCCGCTCCCAAAGCGTTGGAGAGCAGCACTTGCAGCCATCGTCTTCGCTTTCATCCCGCGGCGGGAAGTGAGGGGAGCACGTGGTGTTACCTGCAAGCAGCTCTGCCTTCGCCTCAGCCGAAAGCCAAGCAAACTGGGGCATTTGGGTTAGTTCCGTCTATCGTTCTGGGTGTTGACCCGTGTTGTGAAGCTTGCAATGTGCTGAAAAGGAAACCTAGACAGTGGTGATGAGAGGACACGGGGTGGTGGGCGAAGGCTCTGGGTGTTGGATATTGAGGAGCGTTGTGGTGGAGCTGCTAGGCATGGGTGGGGAAATTTCTCAGCGGGGGCTTTGATATACGTACCGGTTTGTTTGGTTTTGTTTGGTTTTGTTTAAAGGCAACTGGCTACACGATCCAAGCTCTAATTTCCACACTGCTGAGCTGACTAAGCTCATGGTTTGTCACAAGTGTTGGTGGTTCAAGTAAAAGAGATGATGGGTGATGTGGCTCTCCAGGGCTGGTAGAACTCACCAGGAGAGTCCTTATGCTTGTGCCCAGGTACCAGCCAGCAGCCTCTGGACACGTGTGAGGGCAGCTCTCCCCAGAGCATGCAGCCAGCACTTCTTCGTCACAGGGTGTGCAGAGAAAGCAGGTGGAGAAAAGCTGAAGGAGCTTTAGAGGGATGGGACAACCTCTGGTCTGAGAGGGTGCGATGTGACGCAGAGGGGAACGGCACAGGCTGGCTCAGGGAAGATGCAGGATCTCTCCGTTGCTTAGGCAGCGCGAACGGTCCAGCGGTCAGAAGCTGAGCCTGTGTCAGGAAGAAGCTGAAATTTAGCTGGCAGACCTAATTTTGAGGTTTGCTGCTTTGTTTGTAATTAAATATTAAATTGCACGGTTCTGACTCAAGGCTGTGTGGTGAAGGGATCGGTGTTAATGGTGCCATACGGGTGGAAAGCCGGGGATGCAAATTCACAAACGCTGACGCAGGAGCAGCCTGTGCTTAGAAAGTTTAAGGCACGTGTTGCTCTTACTGATGCTTCTTTTAACCGGAGAGGCAGTGTATGTCTCTTGGGGTTCATGAGAGCTTGTTTGCTGGAAAAAAAGCAGCTCCCAAACGTCACGTCTGTCTGTAAAGGCAGAGAGAAAAGTTTTGGCTGCTTAACATGACTTTGCTTGACTTGAGGTTGCTGGGCCCATAACATCGCTTGTAATTGTACAGCCCTGTTTGGAGCCTTCACAGGGCAGTGGCTATTTCCAGTTTTAAAGAAAATAAGTTACAGAAGAGTGGTTTTGGTTTTGCATTGTTCTTGAGAGAGGTTAGCGAGTCTAACAGGGTGGTGGGGTCCGACGCTAATGGCGGTAAGTGGTGATTTAGTGACTGGAGCGCTGTAAGATACACAAGGCAGAGACTGATGGTGGTTTTGCACAGAAGTTACGCCAGCTTTTTTAAATACATCGTTAAGCCGATGAAACTTCTGCGTGGAAATGCTTACATTAACAGCATAAAGTATTTATACTGGCGGCTGCCAAGTTTTAAAATGGATTTTATTTGAAGAAGAATACCTTTTGTGCCCGTAGCTTTGCCTCTACACAAATCAAGATGAAGAAGTGGTGTATTGGTTGTTTGGTTATGGACCAGTGCTTTGGCTTCTTTTTAAAGACAGGTAGTTAAGCTTTTAACACTTGCTTTTGATAAATTAATACCATTTTCTCCCTTCTTCCAGCAAACAGCTACTTTATTTTGTTGTGATTGAGTTTTATTTGAGTTACAGAATCTTTTCTCTTAAAAGCATGGAAGGGGAGTTATATCCCCCTCTTTTTGGTGGTAGGGAAGCTCAGGTTGGACATGGTGAAAGAAGGCCCAGGCAAGGAGCGCAGTGCAGCCCAGGAACAGGTCACCCGAGGATAGGGGATCTCTATCCCTGGGGGGCTTCATAGCTCCGTCAGACAGAGCCGTGTCCCGTCTGCCCCAGTGCTGGCAATGGTCCTGTTTTGATGTGCATGAAATACTGTATTTTGAGCACCGGACTGGAAGTTGGGCTGGGTTCTGCCTGGTTTCGGAAGGAATCGGGTGCTAAAAGGCTGCGTGGGAGCTGAACCAGGACGCTGAGAAGGGCACCCAGGAGGTGAGCCGTGGGATGGGTACACCTTGGGTTATGATCTGCTGTTCAACTTGGCTTTATGTTTTAAGAGCTTCTTTGTTGTCGCCATAATGGTCTAATCCCTTGAATAATTAGTTACCATCGGCTGTTTTAAAAATGACTGCTTCTTGGAAGTTTTCCTTTAATAGTCTGTTAGATCCTGGATTTATTAACTATTGAGACAGACTGTGAAATCCTGTTACGCCAGGCTTTCTTGGCGGAAAAGGGATGGAGAAGGGTGTGGGGGTGCTGGGGGAACACACGCTGGCCTCGTGTTAGGGTAGTGCCGATGATTCCCACCTTCCCAAGATGTGCAAGAAGCCCTCCCAACATGCTGGGCTGGGCCAGAGCATGACGTGGTCGTGGTCATCCCTAGGGTTGGGGCTTCAGAAGGTGCTCCAAGAAGTTATAGCACTGTTGGCTGCCCGGTGCAAGGCCAGTCATGCAGCCCCTGTACCTTTAAAATAAATCACAAACCTGTTTTTATTAGATCCAGTGGCAAAATCTGTTTTTGGAAGTGGCTATATGTGTAGTGCAGAAAACTGCTGTCTTTAAAAAAAAAAAAACAACTCAGAATGGAGGTGCTGATATCCTAAATCAGTTCCTGGAAATATCATTGGATTATTAGGCTCATCCTTAAATCCATTAAGCAAATTACAGTTAATCAGTCAAATAAAAGAAGAAAGATCTCTTGCAAGGCCCTGTCTTTTGAGCCACATGCAGAAGCCCTAGTAATATTTTAATTTTCCGTCTGTCAGTGAATGCATTCAATCGCTTCACTTCCTTATGTGGAGAGTTTGAAATTAGAAACTGAGGTTAATTATCTGCATTAAATGAAATATGTGAAGACTACAAAAGCAAAAACCTTCACGATTTGGTATGGTCTGTTAAGCTAGGCAGGCTGTTTCAGAAGGAGAGGGGTTATTTTTCCCCGGTTTTGTTCCGATTGAAGGGTTTTAGTCACAGTAATTGAAATGATTAAAAAGTCAAATTGCTGGTGAATATAATTCCGAGCAGTTTTCTGAAAAGATTTGACACTTGGTTGAGAGCAGGGCTTTCCTCTGCCTGGCCTCAGCGGGTGGTGGGTCGTCCCGGCGTGGTGAGGCCGGTTGTCCTTGGTGCCTTCTTACCCACCTCTCCCACGGCACTGAGGTGTCCCAGCTCTGCTGCTGGGCTGATGGAGGCGGTTTAGGAGTGGACACCAGGGGAGAGCTGCACTTTTGAACATATCAGATATAAAACGAGTCCAACACCATCCTTCCTAATGCCGGTAACCACCTAACTGCTGCCTCCTTCGCTTGGAACTGCGGCTTCGGACGCTACAAAGAAGATGATGCTCTTTGGAGTACACCATCACGCAGCAGTCAGCTGATTTGGGGGCAATTTATTTTAAAAGACTTTTTTATTTTTTCTGCCATTGGCTCAGGTGTGAGCTGCTCCAGGAGCTGCAGTGCCCATCTCTGCTCGTCGAGGGCAAAGCTTGCTCCTAGACACCTGGCTCCGGCTGCTGCTGGGAAGGTCTGACTCCTCTGGAGATACACATGTCGTTCCCCTCCGCCGTGTGCCAGAGGAAGCTGCTTTGCCTGAAGTCACGCTCAGAAATTAAATTGTTGCAGGTCACGCTTGCATGTGAAAGCAGAACCATCCTTACGCACGGCCCTGGTCCGGGTTCTTCACTCTTGTGAAGCATTGATGGATTTAAGTAGAACCGTTGCAGTTTTAAGTCAGATTATCTGAATTCTATAAAACTCATGTGGAAATTGGATTTTAGCTTTCAAGACTCCAGAAGATGCTTTTGTGGTAAGACCTTGAGTTTTCTGGTCCTGTGCCCCCAAGATACAATCTGCCCTTGAAGTAGCAGCTTCTAGAAGATCTTTAGCTGATCTAAATAGCGAATGAGTAATAGCTTTCCTCTATTGTGATGAAAAACATAAGAGGGAGGGAAAATTATAGCTAGTCAAAAACTCTTTGAAATACCAGAGTGAGACCTACTGGTTACCACCAGAACCTCCTGTTAGTCCCTGGACCTGCCTCCAGAGCTAATGACAAGAAGCTATGGGGTTTTATTCTTCCTTCAGCCCTCCAACCCCAACATGTTCCCTGCCCTGTTGTAGACCAGAGAGTCTCAGTCCTTTCTTTCTCTCCAGTCTCGTTTTCCTTTTGTCTAGAGATGTATTTTCTTGTCCTTTATTTCCAGCGTGTGTTCATAAAAATGCTGGCGCTGGAAGGAGGAGTGGGGAGGTGGGATTGCCTTTTTTTCCAGCGGTCCACGTTTAGGATGAGCTAGCTCTGCTGGAAAACCATGCCCTTAGCGTTGAACACATTTACCCTTTTCAGTCAAAAATTTTGGTCTTTTTTTGACTGGCAATCAGTGTTTCAGAATGGGTGAGCTTTATTTGGAAGGGAGGCTTCCTTGGTCTGCAGTTGCTGTCAGCCTGGTCCAGGCAGTTGCTTTGGGGCCTCCCTTCAGTGCATTTATTCACATGGGATCGATCGTTTGATAGTGGAGAACCTCTCCTCTCCAAGCTTTCACGAACAAAGTACACATCGGAGCCGAGTCGCAGAAGAACTGCTGGGAATTACAGGGAGGAAAGGTGCGGGGACTCCCTCTCCAACTGTAGCTACTGGGCTTCGTCAACTTTGTCCTGGCTCTGCCCCGTGGAATTAAGAGTTGTAAAACTGCTTGGCACCAGACTTGCAAATGAGAGCTGGGATGAAGCGACTGTTACCCTCGAGGATCCCAAAAAAGGAATCAGCAAATAGAAATTATTCTATTAGCAGGGGCAAAGTTCACAGGTTAACCATCGTGTCAAATCAATGAAATACAGCCTTGATCTCCTGCACAAGGGCTTTATTGTGTATAAATAAGAGCACCCGAGCAAAGACAGCAAGTTCTTGCACTGTAACGTTCGCAGCGTGCTGAAGAAAGGGAAGCTCTGTACGGATTGCAGCACGAAATGCCTCCTTCAGAC